GATTTATGAATACTCACTTTGCTAACGCTTCCATGCCATTTAATCTTGTCAGTCTCAATGATGATTTTTTTCCCTTGAGAATCCTTGGTCCCCATCCTTCCAACCTTCACTTTATGAAAAGAGTTATTAGAGAAAATAAGCATGTTTACTATATCAAATCCATATCCCATCTCCTTATTCTCATTAAAGGAGACCATTTTTCCATCTGTGTTGTTAAATGAAAGGGTCTGAAGGAAGCGGTGAAGCTAAGAAGAACAAAGCAAGAAATGGATAAGAGAACAGATCTTTTCATAACTCAAACTAAGAGTGAATACATACAAATATTACCCCCACCATTTGTCATTCTTATTCTTGCTCTTTTAGAGCTGTAGCCTTTCTTTTTCTTTTTATATAAATATTTTAACTCTTCATGGTAGGCCAGATATGGAAATAATTACAATTATACTTTATTGGGATACAATAACAACTTTATCAAGGATACGAAAACAACATTTTGTAATACTCTCCCACACCTCTGGATTTAACACAATATTTTTTTTACTACCACAATGTTTTTCTAAAAGCCTTTTGATACCTTTTTCATCTTGCTGGCCTCCTACAAAATATCATTATTATTTTTTTAAAAAAAATACTGAACCAGGGCAATAATAGGATAAGAAAATCAACTCTAATAACATATGGAACTGAATCAAACTTTTAAGAACTACCGGTATGTATGTAGAAATCTCTGTCTGAATGCCTGAATCTATACATTCTGCTTTTCCATTTTTTAAAATGACTTCTTTTAACCTGATTCATTACCAAATATGAAGGCTTTTGAAAATTCTTCTTTAAAAAGGATAGTTGTGAAAATGAATGAAAAGATTTTACTCATCTTCAGAATTGGAACTGCTACAGTCATATCACAAGTGCTTCAGCGCTTCCGGGTTAAAAAGATTGAATGGTGACATCACCATTGACCAGGGGATGCCCAATTGGTGGGTTCCTTTCATGTCCCCATTAAGTTGCCAGCTGGAGTTTATCTACGGACAGTTGTCCACTTTAAAATGCTAACTTGGCAGGAACTGGAGAGTGTGACAGAAACTCACCCCATCCTGGGGCAGCAACTGGGTCTTGAACATAAGCTTGCTGATTGTCAGCTTAGCTTCCTAACTCATAAGTCACTGAAATCCCTAGAACTGGAAAATGTAAGAGGACTCCTCTCCCCTAATGGAAAATATTTTAAATAATCCACAAATACCATATATCCCTGTGAGTTATTAGCGAAAAAGGAAGTTCTATGTATTTTAGTATCATGTGAATTATTATTTTTTCAATTCTGTGTAGAGTTTCTTTTAATTTTCTTTTCTTTTCTTTCATTCTGGAGACATTACCTGCCAAGGGCTTATTTCTTCAAGATGTCTTGTAATCCTGATTGCTTTATGTTTTGATCTAGATAAATCCAGGCTGTGTAATGCATGGGCCACAGCAAAGACTGCAGTGTAGATGCTGTAGCTATGGCCAGTCATGACCATCTCAAACAGAATCCCTGGAAGATCCCTCAAGGACTCTGCCCCACTACAAAATTTGTGAGCCTCTATTAGGTTCTTAGGATCTGGAACAGAGCAACCAAAGGCTTGTTCCCAGAACTCCTTGAAAAAGTCATCAGGTTGTGACTTGGTTGGTTTTATATTCTGAAGGTAGATCTGAAACTCTTCATGTTCATTGGAGTGGATCGCAAAAAGAAAGGCACCTTGAAATATTTCATATTTCCAGTCCTTTGAAATGACCGTTGAAGCAAAGTCAATCTGGCCTGTCATAATCCATACCTTTTCGGTATAGTTAACACCCGCGAAAAATAACGCAGTGCTTAGCCACATTACAGTTAGAGTTTCACCATAGACAACAAGGGTGTTAACTTTTGGATCTGAGTAGAACTCATTAGTATTGGCAGAAATAGTTGTCAGTTCGTCAAGTTCAGGGAACCGACTATCAACTGGCATTCTTTGAACAAAGGCTGGACATATCTCATTCTGGAGAAATAATGACTCCAGCTTTTTCAAGAAACGCTCTCCACTTTCGTCATCTCCAGCCAAAAGTCCAACCCAGATCCACCCAAAATGTTTAAGTAAATAGATAATGCCTGTATACTGATGACCTTCATTGGAGACTGTGTGGTAAAAGGATGATGTCTCTACCATATTACTTCTTTGCATAGGAAACGATCCATATGTGAGCTGAAAGGACATGCTCAGAGATATTCAGATACAAATTATTTATTTACTTATTCATCACATTTCTACACTAACCATCTCATCTAAGTGATTCTAGGCAGATAATAATAATAATAATAATAATAATAATAATAATAATAATAATAATAATAATAATAATAATAATAATAATAATAATAATAATAATAATAATAATAATAATAATAATAATAATAATAAACAAAATTTAAAAGATAGGGTTATGGTATTAAAAGTTAAAAAAATAAAAAGATAACATGCTATCAACTCCTCCCCTGCAGAGTTGCATATCACTCTTATGCAAACACACATACGTTTGTGTAAGAGTGTCTTAACACTCTTTCTGAGATAAGATACCAGAGACACCTCACCTCTGAAGATAAGATAAGGTGGGGGCAACAACAAAGAACTGTCTCTCCTTTGATCCCACCAATGATACAGGATACACAACATGCCCTCCCTGTCTGACCAGGTGGGATGAGACAATATAATTTGTATGAAACAGTTCTTTAGGTAACCTGGCCCCATGCCATGCAAGTCTTTAACGGTGAGAGTTAACACCTTGAATTCAACAAGGAAACAAACCAGCATCCAATGCTACACATGTAGCAGAGGTGTTATATGCCATTTATCTATCTCTATCTATCTCTATCTCTATCTCTATCTCTATCTCTATCTCTATCTCTATCTCTATCTCTATCTCTATCTCTATCTCTATCTCTATCTCTATCTCTATCTCTATCTCTATCTCTATCATAAGAGGTTTTCTCAATGCATTTATGAACATTATTATTAAGACCAAGAATTATCAGTGAATGGAGAAAAATAGTTGTTTTTTTATCCATTAAGCTTATTAATCACTAAGTTCCCTCAAAGGTTTAATAGCAAAACAATAAACACCCACCTTAGCAATTCAAACTTTATTTAAAAAGGTTTGTTTGCAAACCAGGCTGCTTTAAAATCTAAGAAAGAAGTCTTAGGACAATACATCAAAGCAATATAGTATCTTTATGGCCTTTCTTGGCCAGACTTCATCCTAATGGACTATGAACATGTATTAGCTAATCCCAAGGAATGGGCCATTCATTTATAGCAGCTTTACCAGATCTACTGAGAAACATCTTTCTGAGTCATTCGACACACTTTTCCAACCAGCCAGATATCTTAGCTGCATACAAATTCAAAAATTTAGAAGGGTTTTATCTGTCTATGGAGATTCTTAGTCATCCAGGTCATGGTTGTCCCAAAGATGCTTTTTTCATGAGGCAACTAGACTTTCTTGTTTTTCTTTGAAGATATTTTGCTTCTCATCCAAGAAGCTTCTTCAGCTCTGACCATCCCCACCATCCAGTCAGAGCTGAAGAAGTTTCTTGGATGAGAAGTGAAACATATTCAAAGGAAAACAAGAAACTCCAGTTGCCTTGTGAAAAAAAGCACCTTTGGGACAAGGGTTTTATCTATTGATTCAATGGCCTCCCAACAGCTTTTACTGAAGTATACACCAAAATATTCCCTTCAAATGAAGACTGTGTTCATGCAGTGGAAGAATAATTGAAACTGGAACATATTATCTTGTATTGTCCCTTCTGTGCAAATGATCACCAGGAATTATTATCTCAATCTTTCATTAAACATCCTGGTAATTCTGATTTGTCTAATCTTACATTGTCATTATCAGATCAATCTGATTTTACTTCCTTGACTACAGAGACATACTGTTCTATAGTTTATATAGAGTGCCATTGGTTCTTTTCTAATTCTTCTTAAATATATTAGAACTGTTTTTTCTTTTTACCCTAATTAATTGTGATTTTCTTGTTTTTATTTGCTGGTCTATGACCAAATAAAATTGACTGATTATTTGATTGATCCATTCAACTTAGTACTATGTGTACTGAAATGGCACTCTGAGATTGCAAGCAGGAAACACTTAACATTAAGCTACAATTCATTCCATCAGGTAGGACCATGATTAGAATTCTTTTTTTTTTTAATTTTTTTTTTAAATTTTATTTATAAAACAATTAAAAAAAAACATTGGATTTGACGTGACATTCCAGTATATACATTCTTATCAGATTATACCATATTTTACAATCAATTCATTATCTCTACATATACATTAAATTTTATATACATTATCTATTCTAAAGTAACATACATTTCTATCTTAACATTCGTCTTTAATCCCAGCCGTCCTTTT